TATTACAAATCTCATACGTATGTAGCTTAGAGGCTAGAGAACATTAATCCCTATCGAGCAGCGTTCAGTTAGAACTCCTAATAGAACAACTTTTTTGAGTAGCTCACCAGATTTTATGCGATTTACTTTGGGCCCGAATGACCTTACGATTGCACTGCTGCTTCATTAGCAATACAGTTTCCTGCAATTCCACTCAGGACAGGCACCCAAACCAGAAAAATCATGAAGTAACTCGATGCCTGAAATAAGGAATCGACACATTCCTTCACTAAGGCATAAGGCCAGGGAGCTAATATCGCCCCCTACTATTAAGATAGTCACTTTAATGGCAGCCACTTCAGCGTAAAGGACGCTGCAATGATTAGGAAGCCTTAACCTGGAGTATAGCTCCCGACATTATACTCCTCCACCAACCTTCCCAGCAATCTAAGACCGAGCACACGCTAACATTAATACTACAACAATATGAATGAGTTAAAGTCTATTAATTTTTTTTCACCAGCTCTCATTATTGTTATAAAAATAATTCATTTAGACATGGGTACTCTAATTTTAAGCTAATTTCTTCTTGTTATTCTCTCTACCAAAACCTACTCTAATCTGTACAACATCTTGCGAGAGTATAAAATTCGACATAGCCAGTAAAACGAGCGATGGGAAGTCAGCATCGATTTCACTTAATTTTATCAATTAGCAAGAAAAAACGTTAACTTCGGTTGCGCCGAAGCTATAATACCCTTCACAAATACAAAGGCCCCTTACAAGAACTTGATTCCGTACGTTCAATTTGTATAGCAGCTATATGATATAGTGATCTGATTTGATAAATTTCTGTGGAGAATAATTTGTTGCCTTAAGCAATAACTCGTGCCTAATTTCGTGAAGATACCTCGTCAAATAAAAAAATTTTCCATGCAAGCACTTTACTCCGATCGTTCAGTTAATATGGCATCTATATACTATAGTCATCCGATCTATACAATTTCTTCGGAGATTAGATTAATGCCTTAAATAATAATACATGTCAAATTTCGTGAAGATACCTCGTCAAATGAAAGAGTTTTCTATACAAGCACTTCATTCCGATTGTTCAGTTTGTATGGCAGCTATATGATATAGTCATCCGATCTGAATAATTTCTTCGGAGATTACATTGTTGCCTCAAATAATAATCCATGCCATACAAATTTCGTGAAGATACCTCGTCAAATGAAAGAGTTTCCCATACAAGCACTTGATTCCGATTGTTTAGTTTGTATGGCAGCTATATGCTATAGTCATCCGATCTATGCAATTTCTTCGAGGATTGGATTAATGCCTTAAATAATAATACACGCCAAATTTCATTAAGATACCTCGTCAAATGAAAGAGTTTTCCATAAAAACACTTGATTCCAATTGTTCAGTTTGTATGGCAGCTATATGCTATAGTGGTCCGATATCGGCCGTTCCTTCAAAAGAGCAGCTTCTTTGTTAGAAAAGGACAGGTGCAAAATTTCAGATCGATAGCATAAAAACTAGTTTGTATATATACAGACAGACGGACAGACAGACAGACGGACATGGCTAAATCAACTCAGTTCATCATGCTGATCATTTATGTATATATTTTATACGGTCTCCGACGTTTCCTTCTGGGTGTTATAAACTTCGTCGCGAACTTAATATACCCTGTTCAGGGTATAAAAACAAGAAAAAACCTTAACTTCGGTAGCACCGAAGCTATAATACCCTTCACAAATACAAATGATTTCTTACAAGAACTTGATTTTTATGGGTCAGTTTGTATGACAGCTATATGTTATAGTGAATCGATCTGAATAATTTATTTATTGCACCATATACTTGGACAATATCCCAGGCCAAATTTGGTGAAGATATTTCGTTAAATGGGAAAGTTATCCATATAAACACTTGATTCCGATCGTGTATGGCAGCTATATGATAATGTGAGTGTTTTATATACAATATATTTCATATGGACTCGGACATTTAATTCTGGGTGTTACAAACTTCGTGGAAAACTAAATATACTATTCAGGGTATAAAAAGTAAAGTCAACCAGACCGACGTAAATCAATGTATTCGATATGTGGGTACCTTAAAATGAAGTTATACGACTTTGATTTAGATTTGCCCTCTTTGACACTGTGCGAAGACAACGCAATCAGAATGATATGAACAAATTACGTCCAAATAAGTTGAGTAACTTCAGATGAAGTTGCTGAAACAGTTCCACTTCACAATTTTTCAACTGATCCACATGTAAACCTCCTATTTATCCTTGTCATTAAACGAACATTCGTTTCATATTCTTTAGGTCGTTTCTAACATAACGTTTACCTGGAATGGCGTGACTATGAAGCGATTACACCCATTGCTGCACTATAGCATTAGTGGTATGATATACTGCTCTCGCCAAGTTCGGCTAACGAAACCATAGGCGGCGTGTTCTCAAAAAATGTGAACGTATTAAAATATGTATTTATTATGCCTTATTCCTTATGTTAAATTTTCTAGCTGAGTTGTAACCGTACATATTTTTTTGAAGAAAACTGGTAGCATTGATCTGATTCCACACATTTGCAATTCCATCTACTTCGCAGTACTAAAGCGCTAAGTTGCTTTTTTACTCAAGTTCTCGCTTGCTCAAGCAATCGAGAGGACTACGCTCAGTTAATTCTTTTCGTGATCCTCTCTACTTGGTATATATCTTGATTATTTTAAGGTGTCAACACAATTGGTAGGTGAACAAAACTATTATCCGCTGTGCAATTTATTCTTCTTCACATGTTCCGAATATATTACTTTTACAAAATTTTCGAAAGTAAAATCTTTTATTGACCGATTCAAATTTTTCGCCCATCTGTCCCATGTCGCACTACAGCTCTTTAATTTACAATTAAACTCTTCTCACCCATGCAGGCGTAGCAGTCAACAAACTATTTGTTAGCGACAGTGTGCATATAGGCCATCAACTATGCTAGAAAGATGTAATCTGCGAAAAAACCAATTTTGGAGTTTTACCACTCACACTCCACTAGATATCAACTTGATGATAACAGAAGACTTGTAATAGCGTCAATTTATATTCAAGCAAACAAACAGATTCGCAAATGTTCGATGCAGATTTTAAGAAAGAGGAATTTGTTCCACATACTAAATTCTTGAGAGAAGTATAAAAATGATAAAATTACACCAACCAGAAGTTATGATACATTGATTATTTTAAATACAATAAAATATTAGTTATTAATTGTGAGACTCAAGGAGAAAATAAACTTAGTGACAGAAGAATTGAAGCTCAAAATAATTCAACGATTTAAATAAATACTAATATGCAGAGCAAATATATATATATATATATATACAAATATATATATAAATATTATCAGGATGATGAGAAGAGGTGAAGTCCGATTAATCTGTCTGTAAAAATTGCTATAACTAAGCCATAAATTTAGATATAAAACTTAATCTATGCATCGAATTATAGACACGCATCTATAGCTTAAAAAGTTGTAGAAAGGGAAACTTCGAAAGCTAAATCCATCAGGCTTGCTGAGAACTAGTCCTACTGACATCTCATTGTACTGTGTGAAAATAGGTGAAATAGAATAATAATCATGCCCACTTTCCATATAACGGTTATGCTGTATATTACTAATAACTGCGATAACTTAATAAATAAACTCGTCAGACTCAATAAATTTTACAACCGAGATGGTACAACTGCATAGGACTCGGTATCAAAATTGGGCAATGGGCGTGGGGCATCGACCACCTTTAGGTGAAATCCTATATATTATATAAGGCATTACTTGACCAATTTCAACCAAAAGTGTGTTCACACCAAAATCTTAGTACAATATTTTCGTTACATACGAAATTGGGCGGAATCAGAGAACGACCACGCCTACTTTTCATATATCAAAGTTGTTAATTCCATATGACCTGTTCACTTTACAAATTATAAATCAAGCCCCAATGAAGCTATTTAAATAAAACGTTGCACAAATAATGTCCTTGAGGTGTTATTTTTTATCAATTAATTTGTAAAATTTCTAGAGAATCGTTTTCTAATAGTATTGTGCCGTTGTGTCAGTTAAAATCGGATCAATACTTCTCCTAGCCCCCATATACCTTATATAGAGCTTTTTGAACTTCGGGTTGACTTAATAATATATATACTTGTATGTACCAATTATATCAGCTTTCATATACTATATACAACGATTTTCGTTATTCTAGTATCATATACTTTACTCCGAATCAGTAACGTTCTTGAGAAATGCAATGAGTCCAGACCTTACGCTGGTTGATGTTTTCCCTCATATTCCCAATATATTAAATTAAGCCCATTTGGTTGAGTTTATAACACATGTATCTCATTAGAGTTAACTAAGTTTCATTTAATATAAATGTCTGTGACACAAACCATAATGTAAAGAAACTTAATTTGTCTATGACCTATAAGATTATATACATATGTTAATAAGATACCAAATATGATAGTAATGCATTCATGGTTTCAAAATTGCAAATTGTGAGAGTATAACATGTTCGGTTACACCTGAACTTGGTCATTTATTACATGTTAATTACGATAAGGCATTGCCAGTTGTTCGAAAAGCTTCACAAGCATCTGCCTGCTCTCTGACTTACTTTCTACAGTTATCGATTTGCACTACGACATGGTATTATAATATGCACTTGGAAAATCACTCGAATTTTTTCGATTTTATTGCATGTTATAATTAAAGTGCGTAAGTGCGATAACGTGAATAAATTGTGTATTGTGTATTCTGATTACATCCATGCAGGTCACTGATACATATTTATACATACGTAATATAGTAATGTTTATTTGAAAAAAACACAAAACACATAACAATGATACACACAAACAATAAAAAATTCGCAGGCATACACGTTAACATTCAAGGATATTATACTGACATAGAGGTAGTAAGGTAAACAGACAGACATTATGTACTCACAAGTGAAACTTCTCATTCCACACAGGATTTAATTCCTGCGGCATTGTACGTGTACGCTTTTTCACCTTGCTAACTTGCACCGTCACATAGGGATCACTGGTACCGCTTTTATCCTTCGCTATCAGGCCTTGAGCACATATCACTGTAGAATTACATATACATATTTTTTAATTTAAATCTTTTTTTGTCACAATTTATTACTTGTGGATACACGTTTTCGTTTCATTATCAAAAATCGAAAATTAAAATTATATTTGTACGTATAAATACATCTAAATAGGAGTATGTCTGCAGATTTATAAATAAGAATATTTACTAATAAGTAGTATACAGGTACATATGTAAGTGTTATTTAAGCTTGATGGTGGTTAAATATAAAGGAATAGGCTTTGTGTAGAATGTGTTGTGAAAAGGGTGAATATATTCCGATTAATATGAATTTCTGGTATGTTTATATGCATGTGATACAACTATTTAGTAAATATTTATTTATATGATAAATAATCGTAGTGGGAAAATATGATATTAATGAGCTTTCTGATACACAATGAGCTTGGGCAAAACGATTGTACGGTACGGTATCATGCTGTACAAAATCATGTAAAATAGTATAAAAACTGGATTTCCCGCATGCAAATTTAACTCATTATGTAATGCTTGCATTTCTTATTGCGATCATTACGAACGCACTATAAGTATGTACATATAATAGCGTTACTTTATGCATTATCAATTACCAGACATATTTTCCCACTGACTACCTCCTCAAAAGACTTTTTATACCATGTATTCTTCTACAATGTATATGCTATGTATTATACGTATTAGATAGCAAAAAAAATATTATTTAGTTGTATATATATAATTACACCGACTTAAGCCTGCAATTTGTGGAAAATACATGTACATACATTTGTAATAATAATTGTGTTTTTAGCAGGTGTGTGTGATGTGAAATCAAATTATGTTTGGTACATTGTTGAAAAATAATAATATGTATAAGTACGTGGGAAGAGGAAATGAGAAAGAGATATTTTGATAATAACTAATAAGAATTTAGTGCCTGTAACATTGAAATATATATTTCTTATTTTGACAACCACTGTATTATTTATATTTGTAAAAACTAAAACTTGCAAATTGCACATATCTACTCAAAGAGCCCGAGAACAGCAGCAAAGAAGAGAACTCCAAAGTTCAACGGACCACTAGGACTAGGACCAGACAAACGTATACCAAAATGTCTAGAGCATATGGGAAGGGTTTGGCGACAAACATTGGACAAAGCGGGTTCAGAGACCAACAGAGGGGGTCACGTAAATACAACTTGTCACTGAATATAAGATAATAAAGTTAAGGTTTTTAGGGTTCAATATATTTCTTTTAATAATAAAATATATAAAATGAATAAAGATACAGAGTAATCTTTGTTTCACGAAAGTATGTAAGATTATATAGTTCTCACTGGATGTCTTTACTATCGCAGTTCCTCCCTTGCAAACCACTGCATTAGAGCAACAGACATCAAGGAATTCGTATCGTCATCTCTATTTTCATAGGTTTAACAAACAACTTTAAACATCTGTTTAAAGTTAGCCACAGTTAGCGGACTAGTAACGGAGTAGTAATATACTTGTCTAAGCAATAACCGTGGTCGTGGCAGAGAACCAATCACACGGTGTTTTATTTCACATATAATATTTAGTGATATTTATTATATGCAATAAATCGGAGTATGGGCGCATATGGATGGGCTCCAGCGCATTTGTTGAGGTGGCAACAGGACCGCCGCACCTGTTCTAGGAGATTAATGGGTCACTTTTCCACTATACCAATGCAACATATGTACAAATGTTAGTATGGGTCGGATGATACACCAAACAAATAGATGCGACAGGCAGCATCTGTCAAATATTAAAATACACACTTCTTATGGGACAGTTATTTAGACAACAGCACGACTTGTCGCTGTCGCTAAATTAAAACCATTTCTAATTTTGCCGACGACTATGGTCAGCTGTAATGTTGCCACTAATATTTGAAATGTAAAATTATTCAAAGCTCTAACAAATCTAACATTATTTTCCAACAGAAACATAAATTAGCTCTAATACAAGTATATCATTTGTAATAAGAATTGATAATTTACAACAATGAATCGACCTATTTACTTATTTAATATTTAAATTTCATTTAAGTGAAAAGTTTTAGTACGGCAACAACGAAGTTGTGTACATTACCTGTTTGATATGTGGCTGAGGTCTTAAAAATGTGCTAGAAGCTGGGCAAGCAAATTTGGCTATCGTGCAGTCGTATTTGTGTTCAAATCTTAACACTTGTTTGGCAAATTAATTTTTAAGTTTGTGCAACGAGTTATATTGTGTTTGATGTATACGATAACATCATTGTTTTATAAATTTTTATGGAATTATATACAAACTCGGAATAATATTTCAATGCTAATTTGCACCGCATCACGTATTCAAAGACACAAAATCCAAAATTATATAGAAATACTTTATTATTATTAAAGAAGTTAACATGGAACTCGACAATTTTTTGTTATCAATGTAACACATATTAGGTAAATTGCATTTTAAGCCACTTAACTGTTTTAATTCAAATGTGAGTAACGCTTCCTAGTTTCTACCTGCAAACAGAAAGCGAAGGTACCTAAGAGCGTCGACAACTTGTTTGAAAAAGGTGGAATGTATTTGTGTAGTATTCTATTCTTGAAAAATTCATTTGAGGTGTTCCAAAAATTTTAAGATATCTCACTTTTATCCAATTGAGTCTATTTCTTAGTGCTAATTTTTCACTAAGTTTGATTCTTAGTCTTAATTCAATTTTACAAACCTTTCCATAATACACTATTTGTCGTTTTATTCTAATAAGTGGGGTTAAGCATAAGAAAAAACCCATAACCTCGCAAATTGTTACAAACAGGTGGCGGCGCGAAAAATTTGAGTCTGCAGAATTTTATTAAAAAAAATCAATAAATTTGGTATTATGTCAAATTAACAGATATGTATATCAGCTATTATTGAAGTAACGGATGAAATTTAATATGAAACGTGAAGAGTAAAAATCAGTTTCCAAAAACAAACAACTGGTCTTTTAAATTTTGATGTCTCACATGATGATAATTATCAGATATCGAACACGAAACAGATAAGATAGATAGTTGGAATGTGGCGCAAGGCCAATGGTATATTTTATTAGAAAAACATATAATAATTTAAAGAAGTTCGATTTTTTGTTGTTAAGTTGGATTACAGACAGGAACTTCATGTGAAAAATCGTAAAATTCCTAAATATTTGGGTCCACTGCAAGAATGTTAAACATATATCCAATAATCGAATTAAAGGATAACGTACCAATAAAGCCGTTGATTCAGGTACAGAAAGTTTGCAGATGATTTATGCAAAAATTTATATATATCTTATGAATAATATGTAGAACAAATTACAAGTTTCAATAACATACATACATATACAAATATGTTTTCAATACTTAAGTCTTAGCGTAACTCTATGCTAATGTAGGTATATATACATAAGTATATATATAACGATTTATTTAAACCTACTTATGTACGTATATGTATATTAAATAGTTGTGGTATAAATATTCGATTTGATAAGAAACGAAGTGAGCCACATATAATTTGTAAGTGCATTTTCTACGTTGTATTCATTTGTCAAAAATCGGTATTTCAAGGAAGAAAGAAGAAGAGAAAAAACGGGAGCATTCTCTCTAGGTATGCTTTTTTATCATTTTAAATAGAATAAAGTTTTCTTTATTGCTGTAAAAATAACTTTTAATTTCGAAAAATGACTAAAGTACAATGAATTTTGCCAAACAAAAAATTAAACAAAGTATACTTTGTATATCTCTTTAAAGAACTCAAATGTTTTAAAGAAAAGGCCAAATATATGTACCCATTCACTGAATGTTTTCAATTTGTTTCACAATATACCAGTTGTATAATACTAAATATATAGCCAATTCAATATTCTTACAACAATACACGTTTAGAAAACCTTAAGAAGTTTTATACTTCATACCAGGATACACTAAACATTGTACGATATATAAATAATAAAATTATTTGTCATAATTTAAAACAAATTTTATCGTGGAATGATATGTAACACATATGTGTTGCTAATTGTTACTCTTGTTTCATCAGATTGGTGAATCAATCAAGGGTGTTGTAGAATCTGATAGTTGTGGGAATCAAAATTGAAACCGATAAAAAAATGTAGCAGGTGTCATGAATTCCAATATTATTGGTTTGAACAGAAACTGTATCGGTTTTGGTTGTCATGGAAACTAGTTTTATCGGTTTTGTTATCAGAAACAAAGCAAAAGGATTGTCGCTAACAGATTTGAAATGTAAGTTAAGAAATTAATTTATATTATTATTACGATTTAATTTATCTTTATTTCTATAGGGGAAAATATAAGAATAAAACATAAAATGTTATAATTATTGAGTTTATGAAAAAATCCAGATATTTTAAGAGGATTTACAAAACGTAATTTAATACCCAAATGCGTGTTTATTCAGTCGATAATGTCATATAAATCTGTTAAGAAAGCATGTATTTAAGCATACAAGTAAATGCAAGCCAAATCTATTTTCTTTTAATAACATAAAAGCTAAAATAGCGGAACTCATTGTAAACGTTAATAGATTTTGTCCAGTATTTTTAATTTATAAAACGCTTCCAAATTTATTCATTTGCAAGTTTCGTCACATTAGTAAACAGCTAATTCGAATATTGGTTTTGAGTATGTTCGAAAAGACAAAAATCCAGTCAGATTCTGTGACAACATTGAAAATAAGAATTGGTTTGCAATTCTGACAACTAAGAAAATCTGTCTTGGATTCCAAAACTTCCCTAAATAATATCCATCCATTCGCCACGAAGTAAAAGTTGGAAGTAAATCCCATAACTTAATTTATATAACGATCTGACACAGCAGTGAATACCGGACGTTACACTATTAAGAAATTGCTTTAAGTTGCAATACACTCACATTTTTCTACTACCCCACTCTTACTTTTCGAACTTGAACGTCGTCTTTATATCATTTCTTTCCATTAAAATCGTGGGGCAACTTAACGATAAGTT